AAACCTTTTTCTTCTCTTCTTTTACAACTGAAGTCATATAAACCTCAACTTTCTCTCTCTCTCTCTCTCTCTCTCTTCAGTTCTCAATCAAACCCTATTTATAATCGTAACAGCAATACCTGAGGAGCAATGGCTGGAAAAGAAGAGGGGAGAGGAGAAGAAAAGAAGAAATTTTCAATTTGGGATTTGCCAGATGTGCCAAAGGGTCAATTACCACCACACCTTCAACTCCAAAGAAGTCGTGTTTTATGCAACAAGGATGCCCCTATTAATGTATTTCCCTCTTACCCTATTCCTTTATAAGTAACCCATTATAAAGCTCGTCTTTCAGTTGACAAGTTTTTAGAATAAAAGTGATTTCTTGGGGTTGTTTTCATTGGTGAACAAAAAGAATCAAGCTTTTTCCTTGTTTAGAATGCTTGGAGACTAGAGCCTCTCCATTGATTTTGATAAAGGTTTTTTTTTTTTTTGTGTTAATTTTAAGTGCTATCTATCTTGTTCTTTCTTAAGCTTCCGAAATTTGTGGATTTCATTGGGTGTTAAAACTAAAAGGCTTATGTTTTGGGACTCCTGGTGTTTGTAGACAGAGAATGTTCAATAATCTGGTGCTTATGCATCGATGGGAGTTGATAATAGTTTACGACTTGATCATTTCTGCAACTACTTTAGAGTAGAAGTGGTTCGAATCACTGAAGAGGACATGGAGTTTGATATGATAGGTATTGATGCAGCGATTGCCAATGCATTCCGGAGGATCCTCATAGCTGAGGTCTGTGCCTTTTTGGAGTACCTCTTTTAGGTCAATGATGAAAAGGATATTATTGAGTGCTATTAGCAAGCTATTATACACCATGTTAGCTTGCTGCATATTGGTTGAGCTGGTAGTATTATAACTGATTTTGCTTGTAGCCTCTAACAATGGCAATTGAAAAAGTTCTCATTGCAAACAACACATCAGTGGTCCAAGATGAACTTCTTGCCCATAGGTTGGGTCTTATTCCAATTAGTGTTGACCCAAGGCTTTTTCAATATATTTCAGGTTTAATCCAAATATTTTCTCTAGTTGATAATTTATCTTCTGGAGAAGAAAAAAAAAAGGAAATTATGGAGTGTCCCTTGGGGCATTTGCTAATTCTTTCTGATCGTCTCTTTTAATTGTAGAAAATGATCAGCCAAATGAAAAGAACACCATTGTTTTCAAGCTCCATGTTCAATGTAAACGAGTTAGTCCGCGTTTCACAGGTATGGTTTTGTGCTTTATGTATGAAACATAAAGCCTTCTACTTAAATGAAAATTAATCAGTCTTTCCTATTTAGCTTCATTTGGCTTATTCTGATGAGATGAGATGTGTAATGCAGTTAAATCGGGTGAATTAAAGTGGTTGCCTAATGGGAGTGAACTGGTTAAGGAATCAAGAAATGCAACTTCAGATTTATCATCTAAACCTGAAACTTACACTTCCTTCACTTGCAGCCAAGATACCATGCCAGAATTTGCCAAGAACCCTATTGCACCTAAGCATCCAGATATTATTATTGCTAAACTTGGCCCTGGACAGGTATGTTTTACATGCATATGTTCGTTTTTGTAACTGCTTATAAAACATGTCTACATGACAGATCATGCCTTAGGTTTAGATCTAACCTCTTTGTTGAGCTTAATGCGGTGCTAGCAGATTGAAAAGGTTTGATGTACTGTTTCTCACTGGTTCAGGAACTATTTTGGAGTTGTTAGAAGTTAATTTAATTCTTGCTGAAGTTTTTCAGTGTATTAAAACTTCCTTCCTTTTCTTTAGGAAATTGAACTGGAAGCACATGCTGTTAAAGGCATGGGAAAAACACATGCAAATGGTCCCCTGTGGCCACTGCTTGGTATCGGATGCTTCCTGAGGTGAGGATAGACTGTAACTGTAGATCTCTTCTTTATTAAACCTTCTTTGTTTCTTTCCTTTCTTCTACTTATTTTTTATGATATATAATTACAATCTGTTTATATATATATATTGGAAGAGTATAGGTTATATTATTGGAAGAGGTTGAAGATGACCTTGCTGAAGATCTCAAAAGCAAATGCCCAATAAATGTATTTGATATAGAAGATCTTGGAAAAGGTGAAGTAATCTTGTTCACTATGATTTGTTGTCTATATGGTGTAAGTTCTGGTCATTATCTTTTTCCCCCTATAAAAGGGTTTTCCAGAAATCCTATATTGAATGTAGATTATATTCTTATAATAGTTGGGTCGATAGCTTTTTGATTGTGTTGAGTGGTTCTACTTGATATGCATTAACATGTGAAATTAGAAGATCCTTTTTTAGACACATTTCCTGATGAATAATTTAGCTGCTAAGCAGGTAAGAAAAGGGCGACTGTAGCAAGGCCACGAGCTTGCACACTTTGTAGAGAATGCTTAAGAGGTGAAGAATGGGAGAAACGCGTGGCACTACATCTTGTTAAAGATCATTTCATATGTAAGTAAATGTAGGGCTACTTTAAATCTTTTACTTGGATTTTTCTCAAATTATTTCTAGATTTCTTTGATGCCATCGCTTGGTTAATATTTTTTCAGCTATTTCAAAGAAACCTAAGCTTAGGCACAGGTTCTTTTTCAAAGAAACTTAAGCAGCAGCTACAAGCTTTATATGAAAGTTCTTTAAGAACTTTGAGTTCTAATTTATGGTTCCTTCTCTTTTCTAGTTACTATAGAATCAACGGGAGCATTACCTCCTGAAGTGCTATTTACTGAAGCTGTGAAGATTTTAGAAGACAAGTGTGAACGTGTGATAATGGAGCTCTCATGATTCTTTCTTATATAGTTACTTAGGATGAGAGCAGTGGACTATAAAAATCTCTCTTGCTATTAGAATTTGAGGAGATTTTCTTGACTGTTAGTATATCTTTTTTCTTTTGCATCTTATGAATTGGGGTGGGACGAGGGAGGCAGATTGTTTGATTCATCAAAAGTGAATTTTGTAAGTTAATGTGTAACGAGAGCGATTAGTGGTGATGAGCTTTTTGCATTTTGCTCTCGAATTCTATAGCTGTAATACAAGGATCAATGGCTTGATCCTATGAAGTAGCTAATTCATCAGCCCTCAGTGGCATGAACTCTGTAACATTAAATACTAAATTACATCATTTTTCAGAAGCTCATCTTCCATGCAAATTACGTGATGCATCAGATCTTATTGACTTTCATTAACACAAGGATTAATTATCAGATGAATTACTCAGGTTTGATATATAGCAAAAATCAGTGGCACTAATGAATTCTCTGGCAGAAAATATAAAGATGAATGGTTGGTAAGGTGGTTAGTGATCCATCTGTAATAGAAGTATATTTTTTTTAACTAGAATATATTCAAGGAAGAAATGTCAAAACAAAGTAGCAAATATTTTCCTGGATAATCTATATAGTAATGAAAGTGACATTGATTTTTAGATTTCTCTTACTTTTCCATCTCATTCAATGTTTTACAATTTACTAAAATTTATATAATCGGAATGCACTACTTTCCTATACACTTCAATGATTGTGTGGTGTTGGAGAGGAGAATGAGATATGAGAAAGAAAACGAAACATGTACAAGGTAAAGAATACAAGGGCCAAATCCGAAACAATCTCATTGTCAGTTCCAGACAATATCAATGAACATTGGACCACCTAAGGGTTAGGAGAAGAACCAGCTTTGAATAGACTCAAATCCATTATCTCACAGTTTAATTTCTCCTAAAACATAATTAAAATGTGAAAGACTGAAAATAATAATCTAGACCGGACCCACCAGTTAGGCAGGGTCAAAATGGATTGAGTCTCTCACTTTGCCTTGTTCTTTTAATTTTTTAATCTTTGTTTACACTAAATTCTTTGAACTAGACCATCCAAGTTTATAGACTTTTTGAAATTATGGAGGGTGAGAAATTGACAATTAAACCAAATGGGTCAGTCCCAAAAATTTTACAATTCTCTTGAAATGACCCTATGCAACAACTGCTTATCCCACTAAAATATAGATAATAAAACAGGATAAGACAAGCCAATAGATGCACAAATTAGAGATTAACATGAAGTGACAAAATTTGATTTTTTATGTTTTAGAAGGGACATCATTAGGTATCTGTCAAATCAGATTTATCAAATTTGTTTTGTTTACATCTCCACGATAATTCGATAACAAGAACCTTGTGGTTCTCTTGTAATTGTTTATTTATAAGCAATCTATCTAGACATCACTAGTTATTTGCCAAAGATGACTTTAGTGGATGTAGCACCAAATCTAGGACTAGCTGGCTAGGTCTTTGATTTTAAAGCATTCCAATTCAGTGATGCCAGAGGGTGTTAAAGCTGGAAATGAGGGCTATATTGAACATGAAAACTATGAAAATTAAGGCCATTATTTTCAGTCCACCTCAATTCTCAATTCTCATGCAGATATTCTGTTGGAATCAATGAAAGATTCAATTGAAAAAAAACCAAAAAAAGTTAAATTTGCACTCAAAATATATAAAATCCAACAAAATTTAATAAATCTATTAGTCAATGGAGGAAAAAAACTACCTTTAGCATTTTTTTTTCCCAAAGGAAGTTCCTACCAAACTTGAGTGGGTAACTGTCCACCCAATATAATTAGAACTAGTAAAAGAGGCCCACCTCATCTGAATCCTAGCCGTCTAATCTGATTCATCATAGGCTAATTAAGTGAAGCAAAAAATTGTCCATGATATGCCCAAAGCTTGCTCATCAGTCATCATCAAGAGCAACCCTTAAAGGCAAAAGCAATGCTGTTTGTTTGTAGACCACCCAAACTCAAAGGAGGCTGAAACAATGACCCTGGATCATACCAAGAACATGGTTGGCATTAATTTTAAAGATATATGACTCAATAAAATATACAATACATGCTGTTATGATTTAAGATGAAAAAAATTCTTTTACAAAAATGAAAAAATCTATCTCAAAGATAAATGAAAGAAAAAGGGACTCAAAAGCCAGTGGTGAAGACAGGTTGGAGCCCTTTGAAAGCCCATAAGTGTTATTTTTCTTGTTGGATTAGGACCATTGTTGTCGTTTGAGGAACATAACAAAATACAGGCATTGAGATAATTGAACCACCCCTCCGAAAACAAAAGAGCCCTACTTTAGCTTTGACCCTTCTTCTCTCTCTATCTTTTCATGTAGACCCAGCCTCTCTTTTGACACTCTCTCTCTCAAAAGCTCTTCTGTTTCTCTCTCTTTCTCTCTTCCTTTCTTGTCTCGCCCTCCACATATTTTCAGGAAAGAGTAAGCCATTTAATTCTTTGATTCTATCTCTCTACAGTAGTTGGTAAGTGAATGGGAGAGAAAGTTGGCTTCTTTTTGCTTCACTGCTAAAGCAAAGGGCTTTCAAAGCTCTGATCTTTGAAACTATATCAGGTACTTCAAAGTTTCCTTTTTTTTTTTTTTGCTCTTAGCTTTTAACCGGTTTTATAATTTCCTTACTGGGTTTTTTTTTTTTATCTTCTACTTTGTTTTTTTAGCACATAGGTGTTAGTGGGGTTCTGGATCCAAAGGTGGGTCTTTTGTTTTTTTGAGAGATCTTTATGAATCTTCTTTACTTTGTTCTTATCTTCTCTCTGCTTTTTTTTTTCTGTGTTTAGAGAACTATGAATGACTACATTTTTCTGTGATTTGATTGATTTCTTTAGCTCCTCTTTATTTTTCTGGTCCTTCGAATCCTGGTGATTAAAAAGGATTGTATTTCTAGGTAGTTAGCTGTTCTCCTTTTTACTACGATGAAATTCTTAAAAGTTTTTTCTTCTTTTTTTTTGTTGCTTTTTGGAGATAATCTTGATCTGGTTCTGCATACAATTCTGTCTGTTTTAGCCACTTTTCATTGCTTTTTGAAATTTTCCTATTTGGTTTTCTGTTTATCCTTAATTTCAGATGAATTGATAAAGTTTATCCTGTTAAAGATGTACTTATGGCTGCCAATTTTTGGATTTAATATTGTCTGGTTCTTCACTTAATCTTGAAAAGGGTATCGCAATGATCTGGTTTTGATATTTAATTTATGGATCACCTGGAGTACAGTGTCAATTCTAGGTTCCCCTAAGTTTTTGATGTAATAAGTGAAGCGACTAGTTGTGGTTTGTTGATTCTCATTTAGGTATACCATATATTTGAATACTCATGGTTGTGAAAATTTTGTTTGCCGGTGTGACTTTTCTTCTCTTTCAGTTGTAGAAATCAGTTTGCTGTTGATGGAGTTGAAGATGAAAGTAACTAAGATTGCTAGCTGAGGGAACCGTGCATCAATGATTCGGGGTAAGTGGTGGGTTTGTATGGTCCAATCTATGTAACAAGTTTGCCTTCTCTCCATGGCCTCAAAATCTGGTTCCAGACCTTCCCCAACAATGCAAAGGAAACCATTTGGTAGCCAAACAATGGAAGGGAATTTTAGTCAGCCTTCTCCTATACAAATCACCAAGACAGTCAAATCAGAGCTGGTTACGCCAAAGACAGTACCTATGAGTGTGCAGCAAGATGCATCCAAACAAGATTCTGTTGCAACCAGAGAGGATATAAAACCACTGAAACCTCATAAATTAGAGTCCGTTGAGCTCTTGACAAAGAAAGTAGATTCAGATCTATCCTTGGGTAATCCCGAAGAAGTTCCAAATAATGTTGGTTCTGAAGTGAGTCAGATTGGCGTGTTACCAGAAGCTTCTGCTGAACAAGAAAAGAAAGCATCGGAACATGGAATTAATTCAGCTTCAGCTAAATCCAGTGATGGGGCCTCGAGCCTTGTCAAGACTAGTGGAAGTGCCAAAGTTGGTGATCATCCTGATTATATTGAGAGTGGTAAGAGAAGTATGTGTAGAGGTAGCACGAGCAGTGATTTGAGCGATGAAAGTACGTGTAGCAGCTTAAATAGCGGTATCAACAAACCTCATAAAGCAAATGATATAAGGTGGGAAGCCATTCAAGCTGTCCGAGCAAAAGATGGTGCATTGGGCTTGAACCATTTCAGATTGCTGATGAGATTAGGCTGTGGGGATATTGGAAGTGTCTATCTTTCAGAATTAAGTGGAACAAAGTGTTATTTTGCTATGAAGGTGATGGACAAAGCTTCTTTAGCAAGTCGTAAGAAACTTCTTCGAGCTCAAACAGAGAGAGAGATACTACAATCCCTGGACCATCCCTTCCTTCCAACATTGTATACCCATTTCGAGACTGATAAATTTTCATGTTTAGTAATGGAGTTCTGCCCTGGGGGTGATTTGCATACACTACGACAGAGACAACCGGGAAAGCATTTTACTGAGCAAGCAGTAAAGTATGAGAATTCCTCCTACTTATAACATCTATAGAGTTAAATGTGGGTCGAGTTTCTAAAATATTTACTTACCATTTTTATCTTTTATTGGTATTAGTTTTGCCGTGTTGACATGCCTCATTGTAGGTTTCACTGTTATAACTGATAATAGGTCTATGAACCAACAGACAGATGAAAATAGGATTGAATTAGCACACTGCCATATAGGTTGTCATTTCTGATGCATGGTTGGAGGTGCAATCGTTTTGGAACTTACACATAGTGATTGTTGCTGGTTGGCATGTTGCCAATATGTTTGAAACTAGGTCTCCCCTTTTATTCGCTTCTAGCTGAAAAAAATTAATTTATTGTGATAATTCCAAAGGGTTAATTGATGACCGCTCTAATGTAGACTTTATTTATTTCCCATTTACACATTGCTGAATCTGTGTCTTTGAAGTATTGCTTCATGTTAAAAGGTTGAGTTGAATATTACTTTGAATATTTTCATATTAAAAGGGTTAATTGATGATTGTTCTTCTATAACATAGGTTGAAACCATTTTCTGATAGTCATTGCTATGTTTTCCTTCAATATACAGGTTCTATGTAGCAGAGGTTCTCCTAGCTTTGGAATATCTCCACATGCTTGGTATTGTTTATCGTGATCTCAAGCCAGAAAATGTTCTTGTTCGAGAAGATGGACATATAATGCTTTCAGACTTTGACCTTTCCCTCCGTTGTGCTGTTAGTCCCACACTAGTCAAGTCATCCACACTTGAGTCTGAACCGTTGCGAAAAAATCCAGTTTATTGTGTACAACCAGCTTGCATTGAGCCCTCCTGCATCCAGCCATCATGTGTGGCCCCTACAACATGTTTTTCACCTCGCTTCTTTTCATCAAAATCCAAAAAAGACCGGAAGCCCAAGAATGAAATGGGGAACCAAGTCAGTCCATTGCCCGAACTTATTGCTGAGCCAACCAATGCTCGCTCCATGTCATTTGTGGGAACCCATGAGTACTTGGCACCTGAAATTATCAAGGGTGAGGGACATGGAAGTGCAGTTGACTGGTGGACTTTTGGGATCTTCTTGTATGAGCTATTGTTTGGTAAAACTCCTTTCAAGGGGTCTGGGAATCGAGCAACCCTCTTCAATGTTGTAGGCCAGCCCTTGAGATTCCCAGAATCACCAGTGGTAAGTTTTTCAGTCAGAGATTTGATAAGGGGCTTGCTGGTCAAAGAGCCACAGCATAGATTGGCATATAAGCGAGGGGCAACAGAGATTAAGCAACATCCCTTCTTTGAAGGTGTAAATTGGGCTTTAATTCGATGTGCGAGTCCACCAGAGATTCCAAAACCGGTTGTGATAGAGCAGATCCCAGCCCCCAAATCATCAGCTGGTGATAAAGCGGCTGCTGTTCCTGCTGCCAATGATCGGAATAACTATCTGGAATTTGATTTCTTTTAATTATTCTCAGAACCATGTTCCTGTTTGTTTTCCTTTTTCTATTTGAGAGAAATTTAGAGTTTATGAAATGTTGATGATGTGCAAATTAGGATTTCTAGAATGATAATGATCACATGCTTGATGACTTAATTTTCACATTTGTATTTGCATAAGTGAAAACATCATGTTGGTTCTGCAATACATCTTTTCCTGAGAATTGTAGCATACTTGAAGGCTATAGTCTTGATTTTCTCCAGGATGTTATAAAAGGATCAAATATTGAAAGAGCTTCTAAGTGTCTTAAATGATATCTCTTCTGCTCGTCTGTCCTTCAATGTTAGAAACTCAATTTTAAAGTTAATAATTCAAAAAGAAAGACATCTCAGCCAATATACAATCACAATCATACACAAACTCTTCACAAATTCAACTTAATTATGGACACAAGGTCTGGTCTCTGTTTTTTCAATTTCTCCCACTTCGTTGGACTGCTATCTTTTCCTTTCTTGCCATGGTCGTAATAACTCCTTAACCAGGTCATTTTGACGAGAGATAAAGCTTGAATTATCACAAGGCTTGGAACTTTTAGGACAAGGTTTTAACAAGGTTGTTAAACTTAAACCTTGGATACATCATTCATATTCATGTTTTTACTCATGTTTGAGCATGATTTATCATAGATTCAACTATCAAGTGAAAACTGGTAAACTCCTTTAATGGTTTGTTATACCAATAATTGGAAGATTAAGGAAAGTTGAGTAGCTAAATAACCATTCGATTAAAAAAAAAAAAACCCCTCCACTAAGTTTATCCTGCCATATGCTTTGAATTGTCTTCATGAAGAAAAAACAAAGCACTGATTGAAACCAACTAACATTACAAGCCAAGCAAGATCCTGTTTCACATATATCACATATATAGTTGTAGACATTACAATCTGTCAATGTTTCAATCTTCATCTGCCCATTTCTTTCAGATTGTTTATATATGTCAAAGCTAATTAAGAAACAAGGAATTTCAGAATAATGGTCGGGGAGAACATGGAACCCAAACCCAATACATGTGAAACAGTCACATGAAGATTGAGAAAATAGGCAAATAATGTCAAACTGTGAAATATTTTTGATTGAGCAAGCAACACATGTGAACATTCTTATTAGCTTATTGAAACTTGTTCCTCATTTGTATTTTTTTTTTGAGATTTTGGTGAGTCTAAGCAAAAGCAACAAAGCTTTAGCATCAACAGTTTTTTTAGTATGATTCCCACATGCCTCTCCCTTGTTTGGCAGAATCAGAACAGTTCTCAAAGCAAGAAACATTTAAAAAAAAAAAAAAAACATGTATGATATGAATGATACTTCAAAGAAACTTCCTGGACAAAAGATGAAGAATAGTTTCAACCCTTTAAAAATGGGAAAAAATGATTATTTATTTTACCAAATTTGGGAATAACCCTCACATTATTTTATGTTTCTTTGAGAGTAAAGTCCTTCAGAGCAACCATTTATCAAAGTCTTTCCCAAAAGTTGAGAGCATTTAATAATTAGAAAGAGAAGAAGAAAAAGTTGGAAGTGACAAATAGTTCCTAGATTTTGGTTTCTGGAATCAACTTTATTCTTGCATGCCTTGGATTTTAACCTTTTCTTTAATTTGTTTGTGATAAAAGCATATCAAAGATATTGATAAGAAAGGGAATTCATGCAAAAAATGAGGGAAAAAAGTAAGAATTCTTTTATTGGTAAAGAAAAATAATTTATTTGTTGGGGGAGAGGGCCACCCATTTATCCAAGGTTGAACTAAAAACAAGTAGCATGGGGACACATGCTATTTGAGATGTGCTAAGGGAAGAAACATCAGGCAAATAAATAAATGAATATAACATAAGAAGAAAAAATCTCATAATAATACACTTTTTCTTTTTAATACAATGATGGATATCTTCCACTTTGCTTAAACTTGATTTTTTTTTTTTTTGTAAATAATTTTGAATGTGTTTTTCACATTCGATTTTAGATTCAAGATTTTATTTTTAATTTTTTTAATTTAAACTTTAATTGACAATATTAATTTTTTATTCACAAGAATATTATGACAATAATATTTTGAAGATTACATATAATTAAAGGAAAATAATATTCTTTGTTATTAAATTATTCAAGGGTGGGTGCTTTCAACTTTCTCTTTTAGGGAAAAAATTAAATTTTAAAACCCAAATATTTTTCATTTACAAAAAATAAAAAATAAAAAATCCAAATTCGTTTTATTTTTAATCATTCATTTTCAGGTAGCTATAGATGCTTTTTAACAGTATCTTCTAAAGCAGCTGCATTAAGAAAAAAAAAAAAACCCATGTTTCAATAAAGTTTCACTTTTTATTCCTTTTTTCTTTATCTAGAAAAAGTTTTTTCCTTTTTTGATTTTTCTCTCTTTCGGTGATTCTTAAGCTTAATTTTTCGAACTTTAAGCTATCAAGAGACCAAGAGGGAGAAAGTAAGGAGAAGTAGAGCTATTGTTTTTAGTTAAAGTTTTAGTTTTTGTTATCAATTTTTTTGCGCTATTTTAGTTATTTGTGAGAAAAGGAAAGAGAAGAAGAAAGAGAAAATGAACAATGCTCATCAAGAAGCTATCAAGCAATTTATGTCCTTGATGGAAAATGGTGAGATTTAACTATAAAAGAATGGTTTTTTTATATTTTCTTTTTTGGGTTTCTTTTATTCTATTTTATTTGTTTTGATCTGCAAGCACTAACATTTTTATTTTTTAAAATATTTTGGGAAATTTGACTCACAGTTGATGATAGAATGAAGGGCACATTTCAGGTTAGTCTTTTTTTTTTTTTTAATTTCTTTAATTGGATGCTGAGATGAAGACCTGAAGAGAAGAAATAGGAAATTAGATTTTTTACTAATAATTGAATATGTTTCTCTAGTTAGTAGCTGTGGACTTGATCTGAGTGCTTAGCGGTTTGTAATTTCATGTTTAACAGTTTTCTTTTCTTTGTTGGTTCTGATCTATCTTTTGCTTGATTTATCTCAGTTATAAGCTTTTTGGCTCTTTGAAGTTCTAGTTTATTCAATTTGGAACTTTGTCTCTTCTCACTGTTTTACTAGTTTCTGGGATAGTAACATAGTTGTGTAACTTGGCAAAGAGTTACAGAAAAGCTTAATTGCTACTTGCTAGTTTGATCTTTTTGATCAGATACTGAAACATGATGCTAGCTTTTTAGTGTCATTCAACAGTGAGGTGGTACAGTGGAATTGTAAGATCATCTTAAACATTTGTAGAGTTGATATTTAAATATACAAGGTGGAGATGAAAATTTTACTAGTGTCACAAAGTATTTAGAGCTAAGTGTGGCTTGCAGATAAATAAAATTCTTATCATAGGATTTTCTTTCTCAGTACCCCCTATTTTTTAGGAACGTGTATCATACTGTGGTCTGCCAAAATATAATTTAAAGTTGAATACCTTGGTCTGCAGAACATGCACCATGGGTATCCGGCTGAAACTTTAGTGCGGTTTCTCAAAGCAAGAAATTGGAATGTTCAGAAAGGTCATAAAATGGTGAGACTTATCGTGTACACTTAAGCTATAATAAAATGTTGTGCATCAAAGATCCCATTTTTTCTGTTTATTAATTCCTAATTTGTTGTCTGCTCCAGTTAATTGATTGCTTACATTGGAGAATACAAAATGAGATTGATAACATATTAGCAGTGAGTTTTTCCATCACACACTAATTGAGTTGTAATATTTTTCAGTTATAATATTACAAAATCATGCTGTTGAAACAGCATGATTTATTGTGAAATTGATAATTCTTCAGAAAGCTCATTTTACTTTTTCATTATGTAGAAACCAATTATCCCCACTGACTTATATGGAGCAGTGCGAGATTCTCAGCTTGTAGGATTGTCGGGTTACTCAAAAGAGGTATTTAAGTATTTCATTAGGATCTATCTTGATATTCATATTTATTGTTGTTCTCTTGCAAGTTGACCGACTCATTTCTGTTTTGCTGTGCAATACGTAGAATATACTGCTATTAGCAATCCCTTTCTTTGGGAGGAAAACTTTTGTTACATTCAAAAGTGCTTCCTCAGTGATTAATTGCCTCATGCCTTCTGAAATTTCCAGGGTCTTCCTATCATTGCTATTGGCGTCGGTCTAAGCACATTTGATAAAGCATCTGTAAGGACATCATAACTTGTTCTATTTTTAAATTTGGCTTTTCAGCCTGTAGAATTTGGTTTGATGTTTCAAACTGCAGTTAAAAGAAATCATCCAAGGACTTGCTATTGAGCTTTTAAACCATTGAGCATTTAAGTAGCAATATGTGTATTAAAAAAAATTAACTTTTGTCTAGTATAACCTATTAGGACAAAGCAAGTTGTGTTCCCTTTTCTGGAAATTGACCATGACATACAACAATTCCACATTCTTTTTCTTCTTTTATGATCCTTTTTTTTCAGTCTTATGGACATGCTTTATTAATAATGCTAGAGGACTTGGATAATACTTTAAAAAGTGAAATAAATTAGTTGTGGTTGGGTGGAGAGCATCTTGTTGCACTCTAAGGAGTATGTATGTACTTCAGCCTGCAGTGCATAGAGTTGCTTCTGTGACACTTATATTTGTAATTATTTTGTGTTCTAGGTGAATCACTATGTACGGTCACACATTCAAATGAATGAATATAGAGATCGTGTAGTATTGGTGAGTATGGACTCTGCCTATGTGATGTTTGTCACCGATGTATAACCATTTGTATTCTAACATGTTGGTTTTGTTACAGCCTACTGCCACAGAAAAGTCTGGACGACATATTAGCTCATGTCTGAAGGTTTTGGATATGACTGGCTTGAAGCTTTCGGTGTTGAACCAAAGAAAGGTACATTTTAGTATCATATAACCTTCTTTCTTACCATCTCTTTAAGTGCATTTCTCTTCTCAGCGTAGTTTTCTTAGTCATAAACTTAACCACCACCTGATGTCACATGTAACTTGATCTTTGTGTAATGAATCTATCTTTTCCTGCTTTAATAGCATTATACATCAGTCTAGATTTTGCTACTATGTTCAACTTTGACTACTTTTATAGTTGATTATGGCCAACTGTTATTTATCTGTATACCATGTATAAGTTGTTATGAGATTCTATATGAAATTCCATAAATACTTGGACAGGGATGATTGAAATGTGAGTACTAGTGAAGTTTAATTCTATCTCAGTATGTAAATTATCACAACTTTTTCTCAACTGAAGCTGGTCAACTGGAAATGGAAGCTGAGATGGGTAACTAGTATAAGTAATTGGCCAGCTAGTCCAAATTTTGTACAATGGTAAATTATTTTTTTCGCCTGATGATAGATCTCCCGTTTTCTTAAGAGGAAGAAGGAGCAACCAAAATAAATAAATAAGACTAAGAATTGTCTGCTCATTATTGTGCCAATCCTCTTTCTAATACTGATTTGTCTCATATGCTGTTTGCTAATGCAGCTATTGACTACTATCTCAACAATTGATGACTTGAATTATCCTGAGAAGACAGAGACATACTATATTGTCAATGCGCCATACATATTTTCGGCATGTTGGAAGGTTTTTATTTTTCTTAATTCTCTCTTTCTTTCAAAATAGAAGCCTAATGCTTTTCTGCAAATGTTGGCAGACTGTAAAACCTCTATTGCAAGAAAGGACAAAGGGGAAAATTCAGGTGCTTCAAGGTTGCGGAAGGGATGAGTTACTGAAAGTAAGAAAACCCATCCACCCATGTTTGTAAAACTCTCTTGAAAGCATGTTTTCGTTTTCAAGTATTAGCAATAGCTTCTTGTTCTTTAAAAATCACCACATTGACTCACAGGTCCATATTGTTTCATATATGCTCCCATAATCTGAAGAGAACTGTTGTGAGTCTTTAGTTTGCATTCAACAATTTTAGATAATTAGGACTTTCGATTTTACAAAGGCTCACTTGTTCTCAGCTTACTGTCTAGAAACCCACCCCAACCTCCTTTCATAGTTTTGTGCGCTGTTTTAATCTGATGTATGAAAAGATAGCTTTATTGAATTGGTTCTCGTGGTAGTTCTTTAAATCAACATGGATAATGCAATGTATCAATTGGCATGCTTGTTTGATTTTGTTGCTTAAGCATTTTGCTCATTTTTGCTATCATTTGTATATATAGATGAATCATGTTTTTGCTTGCTTTGACCTGATTTCTTGTTCTGCTTGATCCAGCTTTGTTAGGATTATTAAAACTTTTGTCGTGTTCATTCCAACAATGCAGATAATGGATTATTCATCCCTTCCACATTTTTGTAGAAAAGAAGGTTCCGGATCATCACGTCACAGCAGCAATGGAACCATAGATAATTGTTTCTCATTGGATCATACCTTCCATCAACAGTTTTACAATTACTTAAAGCAGCAAGCTACACTTATAGAGACTGGTTTGCGAATCAAACAGGGGTCAATTCATGTAGATTTTCCTGAGCCAGATCCACAAGATACCAAAATTGCAGAGACCATTGAATGCGAGTTCCACAGGCTTGCAGACCAGAATGGTCTATGCAACTCATTAAATGGCCTTAAAGTAAATAGAGATTAGATTTTAGATAATACTGGTTACATAATTGTTGCCAATGTGTTAGAAAAGTCAGCACACTGACAACAAAAGGCCCATCAACTACTTTGGAATAAGATGCCTTCAATTTCAATTATCAAATCAAATGTAATAGCAGAGCTTTTTCTTGCATCATCAGCTTGATGCAGGCTTGGTAGATGGCTAACACTTGATATGCCAACTTAGGGTGGATGATAGGAAATGCTTTGTCCAAATGTCTGTAGAAAGCATGACCCACCCACTCCTAATTGCTTCTTGAATAATTTTCTTGTCAGCATCCTCTGAATATTTCTCAAACGCAATTGCTTGTTGTAAAGGCTGTTGACTATTGTTAAGCATGTTGTTAACATGCAAATGCTGGTGTATAGGTTGAGCTTAATATATACGATTGGCTGATGATGATATGCATTAATGGGGGATCTGCTGCTTTATGCGGCAGCCACTCTTACATGATGGTCAAAGCTGTCTTACATGAAGGTCAATCCTGATAAAGTTTATGAGTTTTCAGGACTCTTGAAGCAGAATTAGCCAATAGAGAGCTAGGTTAGTAACCAAATGAGACTATCATTATCATGCTGTTGAAATAACGATAAGCCGTTTTACAATGGCTAACATCATCATTCCCTGACATCTGATGCAAGTTCTCATCCATTTCAATCCCCTCTACACCCTCACATCAGTTAATCATTTCCGAATTTTAAGGGTCTCGGACCAGCCATTCGAGACTTGCCATGTTGAACTTTGACGTTAACATATCTAATTTTTCAGTCATTAACGGGGGAAGAAGATTGGAATATGCCTACTGATATGTGGTTGTCAGAGAATGCGAAACAAAATTCTTGAAGCAACATAACGAGCACAAAATTAGCAAATGCAAGAACTCAAAAGCACCCTCGCAATGTACTTTGAACATCAAACTCAAGACGGATGTGAGGGTACTCCAAAACATCACATATAATATAAACATGCAAATATCATATCACATTTCTAACTTAGCTGTTTATAGCAACTATAAGCAACAGCAATTGATGCAGCAGCACAAACAACAGCAAGGGGAGCATATGTATCTTCACACTCCCAGCTTTTGAACTGTGATTGGCGACGAAGATGATGATGGGTTTGTAGGGAAAGTTAATGATTCTTCTCTTTCCCTGCTACTTGACACCATTTCAAAGGCACAAAGAGAGAAAGAAAAGGCGAGATAAAGGAAGGGGTTTTAGGGAAAGGAAGAACGAAGGGTTTTTGGGAGAGGAATTTTTTTGGTCGAAGTCCAAGAAATGGATGGTTGGCTTTTGAGAGAGAGAAAACTATGTTTTTTTTTTCTTTTTTTTTTGAGGTTTAAGTTCCAGAATTTCCAGTGGTTTGGGAAAGATAAGTTTTTTTTTTTTTCCTCTCTATAGTACTAATGTTGTGTAGAGGTCCTTTTCAGTTATTGAGTTCATGTTTTTGTATTTTTCTTTTGTTACGTTAAGAGAACAAAATCATAGTATAAGTAAGAAAAAGAGAGAAAGTTTGATTCGAAATTAGATTTTTAATATGTCTTCAAACTCTTTGATCATTAAACTAAACATTTGAAGACATGTTTTTGTACTTTTTCTTGTTTATGGGTACTTTTCTTCGTATTTCTATGCTAACATCCAATTTTTGGGACTATTCTCTATATGTTCTTTTAAGAGCTAATGTTTTTGTACTTGTATTGTTAAAATAGGCTCTTTTTTTTCCTCATATTCTGAGTGAATTTTCAATTTTTGGGACTATTTTCTCTTTTCAATTGTGTAGAGAGTAGATCATACGTGGGCTTGAGGGTTTTTTTTTTTTCTTTATTTTCACAGTGATTCATCTAAATAGAATTCATTGAATTGCTTTTATCTGTCAAAATCAAGTGTTAAAGAAGAATAATGATTTTGTTTTCCACTTCCCCTCCTCTGCCATTCATATCAACAATTCAATCACTAAAAGAGATTTACATGATACAAAAATCTAATACTCATGGTATCAGATTTACACTCATCTAAGTTATGCCAACTATAGTCATACTTTATTAAAAATTGAATTAGACTCACCTGCTCAATCCAAAAATTGCAAATTAGATTGCTTTCAGGCTGGCAATCAGGATGCTAGGAACCTATGTTATTGTTATCAGTCGATCTTTCTTTCTCTGTATATACTCTAGGATGATTTATTATTTTGTAATTTTGTATTGTTAACATGTAACTTTCCCTATTGAGGAATGACCCACGCTGCCTGCATATGGTGAAGGTGGTTTCCACCAAACTCGACCCCGAATTCTCACCCACCAAGAGCTTAGGTTCAAGGAAAATGCATAATTTGTTACATTAAAATCTCACGATGAGAAGGCTTTGGTTTGCTTCTTAAAAGTTGGACACCAACTTAAAAGTTCGTCTCCAAGAATAGATCATGGAGGATGCCTGGATGCATTCATTGATCTCTAGGATATTATGAAACACACAATTGCCAGCTGCTTCTACCAGTCTTTGGGTGACCAAAAGCCTAAATTTGCATACTGCCAAAGCTTCATCGACATCATTGCTGTCACACTGCCCTCCAAGAATATATATACAAGCATTCATTTTCACTGCCAAGTTATCAATTAACTACAGTAGTCATATAGGAAGAAGTCAGTTACCCCATGTTGCTAGCAAACTAATCCTTAGATATTCCACTTTAAATTCCTAACAGACAAGAATAACAAAGATTTGCTTCCACAGTTCTCAGATGTACACAATCAAATATGTTTCACTCAACCATTGATAAATGTACAAAGATCCGGCACATGCAATGTTCACAGAGGCTTCTCACCAGGCAGATAAGAGGGAGATCCACCCTCAATTTGGTTCTTTCTTCGATTGAAGATACCACTGATACTAGGTAAAAGCACCTTTTTTGAGACAGAAGACTTCTCTTTTTCCAACTTTCTAGCCTGAACAATTTTCTGTGGTGGGTTTTGCTTTTGAATTCTGTAGTGCTGTGGGGAAGATTCAGCTGACATCTGTGCTTCTGCCAGAATACGAGATGCAGCTTCAGCCGCTTTCTTCTGTTCCCTTTCATGCCACCTTCGGAGCTCTCCCTCTACCACCCTCTTCGCTGCTTCAGCCATCTCTGCCTTCTTCAAAGCATCTGCAGTGGCAACCTTCATGTCTTCAATCTCTTTCTGAGTCGCCTCTAACCTCTTGCGGACCTCATTTTCACTAGCCTTCACAGCTTCCACCTGAGCCAAGGCGGCTGCCACTTTCATTTCAGCTAACTTATCAGACTCTTCAACTTTACCACTCAAAGACTCAAATTCTTCCCTGGAGATAGTGATATTGGCACCAGATTCAGAGGTTGAGGCACGTGCAGCATTTGTTCTCTCAGAAAGCATCTTTATCTGATCAAGCGCCCTTGTCTCAGCTTCTTTTGCAGCTTCAGCTTCTTCCATGGCAACTCTGAGTTGCTTATCTGCTTCCTCAAGTGCGATTCTTGAGGATTCAGCTTCCAACTTTAACTTCTCAGCTTCCTTCTTCATCTCTTCTGCCTCTCGTTGTGCATTTTCTGTTTCCACCAACAACTGTTGAAGGGTTGAAATCATTTCTACACAGGCACCTCTTGTTTTGGATTCCTCTGCAAGGAAAACTTCCAGCTCAGATTTACTTTTCCGAAGCTTGACATGCAAATTCCCAGCAATGGACTCTGTTTCTGCTTCTTTCTCCTTCAGTTCAGAATGCTCTTTCTTCACATTCTCTAGTTCCACCTTAAGAGACTCCACCAAACTCCTCAAGGAGCTTTCCTCTTCAGCAACTTTTAGCAGTGATTCTTTAGCACCATCAAGCTCAGAAGTAACAGTTTGCACAGACTCCAGATCAGAAGCCTTTGCATTTTCCATCTGCTTCTGCAAAGCCCCAATCTGATTGACAGTTTCGGACAGTTGTGCTTCAAGATTTCGTGTAAGTTCAGGGTCATATTCATTCTTTAAAGCTAGCAACCTCTTTGTTGACTCTTCAAGGGTAGCTTTATATAATTGCCTCTGTGTATCCTTTTCCGCAAAAATTTTAGCTTGTTCTTGCTGTGATTCAAGAGATGCAAGCTTCACTTGTCCAATTGATTCCTGTATAGCTGAAATTTCCCTAGAGAGCTTGCCAACCTTCTCCATGTTAACCTTCACTGCATGTTCAGCTTCTTCTGTTTGGTTGAAGGCAGCATTTTTCGCTTCTAAGGATGCATCACAGTCCTGGCGAACCTTCCTCAATTCTTGTTTTGCAGCATCAAGTTCGGTAATCACAGTCAAGTATTGTTCCCTTGCAGTTTCCAAGTCCTGGCTCATAGCACCATCAGGTCCAGGGAGATTACCAGAATTTGCTTCTTCAATCTGCTTTGCCTGATTCTTTGCAGCTTCTGTGGCCTTGATTGCAGAATCCTTTGATTCATTAACAGTTTTGAGTTTGTGAGTCAGTTCCTCAACCATTTTTTTAGCCCTTTCAATCTCTACAAGTGCTTGAGCCTTAGTTGTCTCAGCATTTTCTAGTTGCTCCTTTAACTTGTTCAACTCTTTTTGAGCCAGGTGAAGCTGTGTCTCCTTGGCCAGTACTGTCTGCAGCTCAACAACAAATAAATTTTAGAAACAAATAAGAGTTAAAAATAGCCAGTCATGCAATTTTCATATAACTAGATTTCTCAGCAATCTATCCCTGGAGCTCCAATTGTGTACTTAGTAATTAAACAATGACAATGTTAATAAAAACTGCTTAGAAAGACCGCAAAAGCGTGCCTTAACAAAGTCTACTTGCTATTTAGGTTTCTCAGCCTTCATATAAAAGTAGATGCTATATTCATTATCCTGAGCAATATGGCTCTTATACCTTTAAATATTTACAATTATTAGAGATGAATGAGAACCAGGGAATGAAAAAGAAAAAGAAAAACATGAGTTCGCCATAAATATCGTATCCAAGTCTCAAAAACTTAATACTACTATGCCTTGACACAACATTTCAGGTGAAAGAAGAAAGAGAACTTCCAAGAGTCCATAATAATACCTCTGCAGAGTGAGCTTTTGCCTTTTTAATGGCAGGTTTTTCCCCAGAGAAAGCACCTTCACCAAAAAGTGTGACAGCATCTTTAACAGATTGAAAAGGAGCACTAGTGTCTATCTCTCCCACCTCCACTTTTAGAGAGTCAGTGGCATTCTGGCGACCCTTTGCAACCATAATGCTTTGCTTGCTTAGTATTTCTCTGATATTCACAAGTTGAAATAAAGAAAAAATTAACATTAATCAGATAAAAAAGGCAGACTTAAAAACATATGAACATCCAACAACCAACATGTCTCAGCAGAAACAATACAAACTACAATCTCAAAGAAACCTTCTTTTCTCCTACACAGCCAAATGATTCTTTGACACAACTACAAATCTCAGGATCTTAACAAGATGTGCTGATATGAATTGCTCGATCACAACCTAGATCAGCAACTTCAGGCTGAAAAAAACCTCAAAAATCAAAAGGAATAGTAGCTTTAGAAGTAATCCCACGCACTTGTTGACAGTTATGGCATAAATCCATCCTCGATTAAAAATGGTTTCCACCTAATGAAACTCATAAAAGTTAAAGCACAATCACATATTAGTGTAGCAACAACTTGCTTGCATAACCATTTCGTTTCATGAACTGAAAATTTCAAGCCTCCACAGATTATTAAGCCAAAAATCCATAAAGAAAAAACTCCACTACAACATCAATGAAACTAGATTCCAGTTAAAATTTACTCAATATCATCAATATTTCAACATCAAAATAAAAATCACTATATGTGTGAAGCTGACCATACCGTAAATTTCCTTATCAAGTCTTCAAACAAACAGACTACCTGATCACCTTCTTGTCCTTAAGAACACCAAGCTTTTATTTTTTTTCCCCAGAAATTTAAGCCACAAAACCCTAGCTCAACATCAAACAAAGAAAGAAAGATCTTACAAAAATTTCTAGAATTCAAGAACATGACAAAATTGACATCTCAAGTCAAGGACAGAAGTGAAATAAAATGCAAAAGAAGGTCTAATAAAACAAACAAATAGCGTATAAGAAAACATAACTTGAAACAACAAGAACAAAGGACTTACCTTTTAACTGCTAAACCCAACAAAAACAACAAAAACCTTAATCAAAACCCAATAAGAAAAAGCTCGTCAAAGGGTCAAAAATCAAAGAATCACCTTCTCTAAAATCCCATCACATCTTCATGATCATCTTCTTTGATCTTTACACTATTCCTTCTTTCACTCAAGTACCCTTTTAATCTTTCAACCCAAAGACCAAAACCCACAAAGAAAAATCTAAACTTTTGACAAGAATCTCCCAAGAAAATTCGAGTAAAAAATATTCTTTGTCAAGAAAAAAGTAGGCTTCTTGGAAAAGAAAATTTCGAGTTTAACAAAAAAAGGGCTTCACTATCGTCCTTTTACGTATTTTTGAAGGATTCAAATAGTAACTGTTGCAACTGAGAGAGAGAAAGAGACAGAGAGAGAGTTTGAATATTCGAAAACTGTTTGAGACACAATTTTATAGCAGCAAAGACAAAGACTCTTTCTTTTGATTGAGAGAGAGAAACGGAGAAGCTGGCTTTGGGAGGTTGTACTTTTGGGATAGTAAATGTAGAATGTGTTAACTGAAAGGGTAGTTTTGACTGAAAGATACTACAAAGCAAAAAGATGGGCGGATGCCACGTTAAAGTTTTGACTGATGAGATGAACGGTGACAAAATGACAAAGACCGAAAGAGAAAAGTGTTCAGTGCTTTGGTTGCTGTTCCCATCTCTCCCATCTGCAATTGTCTTTCCTCCTTTTTGTTTTCTTATTATTTCTTTACTGTAAAGAAACTTCACCCTCTTGTTAAAACTAACAAATGAAATGGTGAGAGCAAAAAGTGTCAAAATCCAATTTTGAATGGTTTGGGTTTTGACAATAGAGACAGAGGATGTGTTGGATTGAGATGAAGGGCAAGTTCCTTGAATTCCCTTGGTTTTGGTCTCGTCGGTAGCTAGCTTGTGGGGCAACAAACATAACATAACCCTTAAAATCCCTCAAATGATTCACTAAGTTAATGAATCTAACACTAATATTTACAGCTTTGTCGGAATAGCAACCTTTGGCCTCCCCTGGTGGTTGTGGGGCGGCAACACCCTTAAATGTCATCAAATGACTCATTAAAACTCACAATATCTCATAGTACAAGTAGTGTGAATGACCTGTAAATCGACCCATGTCCAAAAATGCATGCATTTCAGAGCATAATGTAATGTTTGTTTCCAATTCTGATGATAAGTAACTTCAAATTTTACCATTGCTTTTTACAAAGCAATCTGTTGACTCCCATTTCAATGTTTATTGGAATGTCACTTTCCTTGATAAGGAAAAAGGAAAAAGGCAACCTCGAAACTTTAGTTAACATTATTTCCTTAATTTTTGGTGTTCATAAATTATTCTAAAAGTAAGTTCACCTTCCTACTTAGCTTGCTTTTGGTAGTGTTTTTCACTTCAGAAGGGGTAATTTGGGTTTGTGAAGGTCTATATATGTTGATTACCAGTAACGAGCTTATGAGATTGAAGCTATACCGGCTTATATGTCATTGCCAGTGGCATGAAAACGATAAATCGATAAAGATAAAATTTATTGAGGTCGTAACAAGAATATTTTGTTTGAATCCCACATCACTCTCATTACCCCAATAATTTTTTCAGCCTCCTCAAACGAGGTACCTGTGGCATCAGATGGGTAGGGTAGATTTACCCATCTATCAGCCTTTAGGTCAACCACATCCACAACACACGTACCTGATTCTTCCAAGCTCTTGCCACACCATTTACCGTGCACCTGATGTACTTTTCCCTTACCAATCTCCTCACCTCTTCCATCTAAAAGCACAACAAACTGACCTGGCTTGCACTGAACAAATTCTGCAGCACCAAAATCAACAAATTCTGAAGCATCTGGGTTTTCACTGGTGTTAATTCTTGATATGCTTCTAGTACCTCTGGTATTTGAGGGGGCAGTCTCTTGACCAGGACTATCAGGTGCATTTAATGAATGACCTTGTTGCAGCCCACCTTGCTTTCCTGCAAAAGCATTGTTAGGCTCCGGAGGGGGACGAGAATCCTTACTTGCGCGTGCAAGCCGGGCCTTTCGATTGTTGAGCCTGATGGCGGTACATAAGACAGATTAGTTTTGCACAAAAACCAGAGAACTTATTAAAATGCAATACAAAACTGATAAAAGCCAGTTAAATCAATTGGTGCTTTTTAAGCTACAAAATACGCATTTTCATTTTAAACAGCTTACCTTAAAAGTCCTACAAAGAAACTCCAAACTTTAAAGAAACAATTCAATACACACCGGTTATTACTTATTATATTCATTTTTTCCCCAATTCTTACTATATTTTTATCATTAGAGAAGCAACCTCGTGATCTCAGAATACTTTCTGAATCATTAGCATATAAAATGCTGCAAAAAGAGGTGGCTTCCTTACCAGTTCCTTAGCTGTGAACATGTGACCTCTGAGCCCTGAGAAATGAATGTAGAAGTAGTTTTAGAGAAGAAATATGTTACTTCAAGTTGATAACTAAATTAACTGACATCAAGCATAAATTACTAGATCTATTCTACGCACATGATGACTTAATTTATCAGCCCATGATTGTATAGAAGCAGCATTTCTCTGCATTTCAGGTTCATCCAGAAGGGCTCTTTCTAGTATTGTCACCTGTCCATCATTCATTATAGTTCGCTTCCTTTTCCTTGGTTGCTTTTCTTCAGTTTGGACAGTTTCGACTTTTTCATCCTCTCGAACACCTGCATGAGTACTTTCTCTGAGATGCTCTACTAATTTATCAATGGCATTTTTTCCCTTCGTGGAACTTGTATCTGAACCACTTGTTTCAACATTCTGAACATCTCTGTCAATCTCCTTCAAACCACTAGGCGTAACAGATTTATCTTTACAGTCCATCATGTCTTGCCTTGTTATAATATCAGCTTGATCCATATGATTGCTTCTGACATAAAACTGCTCGTCTTGGAAAGCAGAATTCTCAGACATTTCTTCTTTCAGGTTACCATTTTGGTTATTAAGGTTTGAAGGTTCTCTTTTCAGTAAAGGAGATGAGCACCCCCTTAGACGTCGATCCTCCTATCAGTTATTAAACCTTGCTTAGTGTTGGATTTGAAAGAAAAGGCAAAATGAAAAATAAAGCAAGAGCATTTTGATGAGCATCAATGCCAAAATAATAGCCTCTGGCATTCAAAACTGCATTTGAAACAATTCAAGCGTAACTAAGCTCACTGGTCTAAAATATAATTGGATAAAATCTTACTTTATCTCTCTGATGAAACTTTTTGGCAAACACAGTTTGAACCCACTCAGCACTTAATAATTCAACTTTTTTTTTTTTTACCAAAATAAGGTTCTAAATGTAATTAACTGGAAAACAAATGAACTTCCAGCATTCACCGATAATTCTTGCTGACATATTCTTTATGAAACTAAGTCTAAGAGATTGACTAGCAAATCTACTCTTCTATATCTTTCCAACAGAAGCATAGCATTTCAAAACACTTAAAATATAACAAAGAAAGGAGATAGGGACCAGCCAAAGCAGAGGGATTGGAGGTGGGAATAATACTAATAATTTATAAGATGCAGAAGGTTTACCTGAACCCGGTTTTCTTCAAATTCAGCAGAATTTATCAGTGATTGTAATTGGACAAAGAATACCCTGAAAAAAAAAAAAAGAAAACTGTTTAACAAGAGAAATAAAAAAATGTAGGACAATTCATGAATTCAAAAAGAGAAGAGGGCAGTAATAACCTTGAAACAGGGATCAAGTTGAATATTGCAAACAAAGGCTTTGGAGCGCATTATAGTTGCAGAAAATAAAAATTGTAGGGTCAAACACAAAGGATGGTTAATGTATGAATTATATCTCTCACAATAGCATATAAAAAAAGAATGCCACATTCCAGGAGTTTATGTTAAGGTTCAGTTAGTATGAATATCCATGAGTTGAGTGTGGTGATTCAAACATTTTTCTAGTTGAGTTTGCAAGAAAGCAGAATTCAAATTTATGCAGGAAGGTATAATTATCAAAATATGTTAACAACTTCTAATGCTACTTGAACTTAGCAGGAATTTCATTAAAAAATGAACTTCAGATCACCTCAAAAGCTTGAGATCCTCCTCATTCAGAAAAGTAGGAATTAAAGATTCCGCATGACTTAACAGGGAACCTACATGAACAGGTTACTCGTAAGGAACAAGAAAAAGTTTGTAACCATGTCTTACTTGGAGGGAAAAGGAAACCTAGTCCAACAAGATACTTACGCAGGTTCCTAGAAATAGCAGCAGCTTTTTGTGGACCAGAGATAAAGGCAAAACCAGGTAATAACTTAGATGGATCCATTTGCAAGCACCCAAGAAACTTGTGAAGGAAGAGGTTCCTCTCCTGCTCTGTGGATTAAAAGAGATAATTCAATTAACATAAAAGAAAAATAATAATATGAATTTCATAGAGAACTTGCCATCACTAGGGCGGAAATTTACCTTCACAGATGTTAGGAACAAAACAATGAAGATTTGCAATTACTTTGACAAATAAAGACGTTCTTTGATGTGCATAGGAAGCCTGAGACATGTTGTTGGGCATAAGAGTGAATTCCAGATTTTTTGTATTTGATAGGTCTGATGATGAAACTGAATATAAAGCCCATCCAGCTGCTGGAAATAATTCGTAATACAGGGTAGCATCTTCTTCCCTTACAGGGAAATCAGCAGAACACCACATAGATAGAAAATCTCCATGAGAGAGTGAAAATATTGCACTCAAAAACTCAGTCTGAAGAAGCATAAAAGAGGCAGTCATAAATCTTGCCATAAAGGGTGCCGAAAAGGCATAATAGAACACCAAAATCCAGCAGAAAATTTAATTATTTAGCCACAAAATTGTATAAGGTTTTGGTCCTCAGGGAATTATGAAAGTTCTGATAAAAGAGGAGTTATAGCTATCATACTCTTTGGAAAATAAAGTCTCAAAAGTAACGAAATAGCAACTTTCCAAAAGCACAATAGAAATGAAATCAAAGGAATAAATTCTGAAGTCTGATCGTAATAACTTACAAAGTACACAGTGATGCAAGATCGAAAGTTTGAATCATCAGAAAAAATATCAGCTAGACGCATTGCATTAAGTTGAAGAAGCCCCATAGGATAGGTTCTATCAGAACTAGCACTGAGATGTTTGGGATCTTTACTAAGTCCAGTCTTCAACAACTGAAGGACCTGCATCATTATAATAATCATATTAAAGAACAAGCATCCAGGCAGTGAAAGGAGACTATAGAAGAGAGAATCCAGCACATAGGTCATTAGAAAATTCTAAGTATGATTCCCAATCTATCAAAGCAAATGATACTTGCATAACCATCAGAAAACCAACCTCAAGTGCAACAGCTTTCGCCAAATCCAGGCTTCCTGGAGAGCTGGCAACCTCATCAAGGTAAGAAATGCTTTCTGCTTCACACAAATGCAATAACTGCACATTCACATAAGTGTAACATTAAAAAGGAGCTGGAGAAGATTATAAAGCAGGTTAAACCTCCACATGAATATCAAAAACAAATAGGCATGCCTAGGACTTACAATTGACAGGACTTTAGCTTTCAGCCTAGACAATGCAGCCATTATTGTGGAAGATTCTACAAAATATGGTGCATGTAACTTCAGGATGGATTGAGCCAGAAAAAGAATACCACCCTTTCGGCATAGTTCCTTCACAAAGACAAAATCCCATTGGACTGTTTAAAAATTGCACTATATCCCCACAGATCACAATAATAATCTCAATAAGTAGATTCAATAGGACTCAAAACATCACATGGATCTTGTAAAGATCTTCCATACAAATATCAACAAATTATGATGAGTACACATTGCTGTATTGCAACCATGATCTTTTTTTATTGCCTAACTAAAAATTTTAACATCTTAGATCTCTCTTTCTTTTCACTAATAATCTCTCCCCCCTCTTAAGAATCTGATTATAAAGATGGGTAAAAGTTTTGGCCACAGGAAATTGTACCTTAGTAAAAGAAAATAACAAAGAATTGTTCCTTAGTAAAAGAAAATGACAAAGGTAATACTGATTAATACTACTTCATACCAGATGAATAGGTAAATGAAATGCTAGTATGCAAACCTTATTCCTCAATAAGCACTCCCGAAACAGTTTTTGCTGGCACAATAACTGAAGGAACTGTAAAGAAGCCTCACATTGTTGGCAAAGATAATTAACCATTGATTCAGAAGTTGGACTTGACTTGGCACAAATATCAGTATGCTGAGAAGACAGCTTGTTTTGGAGAAACCTGACAACTAGATGAACTGTTTTGCAAGCTACATCCATAAACATGTCAACCTGTAATGAAATTTGGATCAATAGGGTGCACAGATATGCTGGACTGAAGAACTCAATAAGACTATAGCATCATTATGAATTGTTTGTAAAGAATAGAAGAACATAAATCACAGGAGCAATAGGTTCAAAAACAAGTTCATAAAGAACTTTATGTAAACTAGCCCATTTTCCCTCAAAATCAATTCAAAATTATGTTAATTAATTTGTACCTTAGGATGTGCCAGTATCACTAGAGCTAGATCTTGCCACTGTGAAGATATACATCCAGTCAATAGATACAGACTACATGCCACAAGTGCTGAATGCAAAAGAGGCAGAGGACTTGAATCATGGATGTCCTACAACATTAAAACAAGTTCGAATAAAGATAAAAATAAATTTGTAGAAGATAAGAAAGAAAAGGATAAAAAAGAACCTGTCTATAATCATTGAGAACAATCAGCACGTAAAAGACCAGATCAATCAGCTGTTCTGATACTTTCACATCATCAAGCAAAATCTGTAAACATTATAAAGGGAAAAGAGATTAAGAGAAAAAAACTCATAGTTGCCAAGAATCTTCAAAATAGCTATGTAGTGTATAGGCAGATGAAAAGAGAGGAATGACAACCTAATTCAAAAGTACATCCACAGCAATAGAGTGAGTTATAAGATAGAGAAGTGTCTTCTGCAATTAACGGGTACAATCTGTAATAGCCAAATTGGTGCCTTTACAGTAAAGGGCATTTCATAGAGCAAAGGTGCAGACTGGACTTGTGGGTAAAGTCCCTTAGAAATTTGCACGATGTTGCAAACTTAATCTTGACATAATCAAGGATTATGGGGATCTCAAGGGATTCGTGTGGCTTGCTACCTATATTAAGTATTACAATAACTTGAGGCAGAACGTAAGAAGTAGTTCTCCAAGTTATAACTAAGAAAGATTTCCAACCTTATATCCAAGTCCAAAGTCATTGAGATGAAAAAACATGAAGACAAGTAAAGAAACTCAGGTTAATTACTTTATTTTTTGTGGGGGCAGTTAGTTGAATTAAACCAAATGCACTTAGTTTAAAGCTATGCAGTGAAGTATTTATCCTACAGTATCCCTCTTCCTGCCCTTATTTTAAGGCTTAGTTTTTTGTTGTTGTTGTTGTTGTAACAATTTTTCCACAGATCACTAAAACGTACGGAGTTTCCTGCAAGGAAATTGATAAAAAGGATTGTCCCATTTTTGAGGTTCAATTTCTGTCAAGTCCATATCATATGCAAGAACAAAAACAATAAATAATGGAACAAAAGGAGAATTAAAATCAACAGAGTAGAAAAAAACCAGATGAGTATTACTAAGAGCAACCTGCTCAAGTTTAGCATGGCGAGGGGCTAATTCACACAAGGAATGCAAAAGTCGGATGCCACATAACAAATATCTGAGCAGGGCTTCATCTCTGTCAGATGATAAGAGCACTGCAATAAGGTGCAAAGGAAGAAACCCTGCAAGTTTTTCCACATCAATCTGAAAGATAACACAATTTAATACGAGAGGTTTCAGAGAAAAATGTAAAAGAATTATGCCACAACAATGACAACAAGGTGGTTGTACCTTTACTTCTAATCCTTTTTCCGTAACAAAGTGAACGGTAAAATTTTCAGAGTCTCTCAGCAACTTATTAAGCTCCTGTGAGTTAAGCCCATGAACCTCCTTAACCACTGTAATCAGGTCAATGCCCTGTTCAAATAAACCAAAACACATCTGAGTCCCTGATGTTATCTTTCTTGGTTAAAGCACAGGACTAAAAAGTCTAGATAAAAAAGACGGGACAACCAGGGAAAAAGGTTTTTCTTTCTTGTTCTAATTTCTAACAATAGGGAGAAAGTGAGATGGTATGCAAATCCAAGTTCCAATTCGGATTAAGAACACCAACCTGTTCAATACTGCATATGGCTTCTTCCTTGCCTTGCCTCATTTTTCAAAGACCTAGCAGCAAGCAACAATATATGACTAAAGACTAAAAGAGCATATTTGGTAATAACATTAGGTTCATCCACAAAAGATAACTACCGCAATTGCATTCTACTATTTCAAAGAGCCTGAATAATTCCTACCAAAAAAATGTCAATTATAATCAATTATCAATTCGCCACTATTGCTCCTCAAGCCAGCCATTACCAAAAAGTTTCAACCTTCCAAGATTTATCAAACTTACAGATAGCATTGAAACTTACTAGTGCTTCCAAAAGTAATCCCTAACAAAGAAAAGAGTTCAACTCCATTTTCATCATCCCCATGTTTTTTTTTTTTTCACTAAAACAACTTCCAAGATAACTAAACATGCATCTTGCACCTATTAAACCTAAAAAAGAATAACAGCAAATACACAAAGAACACCTCTTTGACCAAAAAGTCAGCGTTTTGAAAATAATTAGAACCTTAACCCTAAACCCTTGAAGCTCTAAAACCACTATAGATTGAAAATGAATTTTAAGAAATGCTGTATTCAATAAACAAAAGCAAAATGAAAACAACAAACAAAAAGGAAAGGAAAAGATAGACGGTAAAAACCTTACCTTGAAATGAAAGGATTTAGAAAAACCCTAATTGAAACTGAATACGTAAAACCCTAGGAAATTGAAAAAAAAAGGTCAAAATCAAAATTTAACAACCATCAGCTTGGGAGTAGCTGCTTTTTTGTGTGTAGAAGACCAGAGTCGGGTTTTGGTGGGCAAAAAGACAAAGAGAGAAAGCAATGCGGCTGTGGAGGGTGGCTGGTAAGAAATATTTGTAATTTTGATTATGATTGAAGGGTGGATTTGTCTTTGAAAAATCACCTAGATGAAGAAACACTGTCGAAACCTATGGAAATAAGATAATATTACACAAATATCATATATAAAAGTGATATATATTTATAATTTTAATAATAATTATATATAAATTTAATAAAATAAAAAAATATATTTTATATTTTTGTATTAATATAAATTATAAAATATAATATAAATATATAAATTTTATAAAATAAATACACATATCGTCTAATCATAAAATATGTAAAATAATTTAATCGTCTTGTGACGGACAAAATTTTTTTATTTTTTTAATTTTTAATGTTTTTCTAAAATTTATTTAATTAAAAAAATAAAAGATTAAAAAAAAAAACCCAAATAGATGTTACATGTCCTACTTTACTCAGAATTTTACCAGCAGGACAGTGCAAATGCTGAAGAATGGCTGTTTATCAATGTAAAAACTTTTTTTTGGTAGCATGTACGAGGCATTGAAGCAGTCAGAGATAAAGGTAGTGTTCCTGAGGAATTAAAGAATCAACATAAAGGATTTTTGGAGTGGAATTCCAATGTAACTAAGCAGAATCATCAGCCCATTGTGCAGGCAAACACATGCATTTTTCACCTTGTAAAGATTATAGAAAACTAGTTATCTTCAGAGAATTTTCTTTTATTTTAATTTCACTTTCCTGTTTCTAGATTCTCATTGATGGAAGAGATACAAATGCTGTAGATAGTGATGGATGTCCATTTCCAACACTGGCTTACATGGCACAAGAGAAGATGCTGGATTGGCCTCATCACTTTAAAGCAGGAGCCATGAATGCACTGGTAATTCACCCCTATGCATTTACTTTAAGAAAGTTTTGGAAAAGAATTTGTTCTAAACTTTTGGTAGACAAGAACAAAATTTGTTCTGTTTGTTAGCAGTTAATGGCACTAAATAATTTCAGTGATGCAGATAAAAATATCATCGGATATCAACAATAGAGTAATCGTCCTACCAATAAATGATTGATTCAATTGACAAAAAATTATTTTTTTTAATGAAAAAGTAAATAATTTATTTATCTCAGAATTTTTCGTAAAAAAAAAAATGGAGCAATCATCCTTAATTTGGACTGTGTATGCAAACAATGCAGACTCAATAGCGGCCCTTTGCTTCTTAATAGATGAAAAGAGAGGCAATCAGATTGCTTATCTGCAGTATCCACAGAAAAACAATGATCTTTATGGAAATTCTTCGCCAGTACTCGAGAAGGTTTCTTTTTTACTAACAAAGAATGTGGACTATTAGTCTTGTATATCACAATCCAATGCAAGGGATGGCAATCAGTTTATCACAATCCAGATAATACAGCTTTTCCGGGTGTTGTTCCACCCACCTTAGATATAGCTCTTGTTCAGTTCACTAGGTGGTCTGATCATCTGATGGACTGTTCCATTTTTCCTGCCTAACCTCTATCATGCAGTTGTTCTTCCCCTTTCTTCGCTCCATGGCAGTCCCTTATTCCAACGGGTAAATTCATTCCTGCATTGTCTGCCTTCCATAACCATTTTCATGTTCACAGACTATACACTTGTGCAAAATTTTTGTCTTAGGTTTCAAGCAGATGGTTTATAGCATAACTGAGGCTTTAATTTGTGGAAGTACATTCAAAGCGTGGTGGAACCTGCACAGGACGTGGATGATTCGGAGAACTACTTCCTTCTTCTTTGCCTTGATCAATTGCATTGCGAGACAATTGGGTTTATCTCAAACAGCATTTACAATACTGGCTTCAGTTATATTCCGGATAAAATTTACATGAAATATTATAGGTAAAGTTCATGAAATTCTTTATTAGAAACGAATAACCAAAAATTTTAATAAAAAATCAAAATTCATAAAATTGGTAGAGTTTAATATTAAAATCAATAATATATAAAAATAATTAAAAATAAAATAAAATAAAATACAACCAAAGTGAATAAAAATTTCAAATCAATTAAAGGAAAAAGAGAAACAAGAAAAAAGACAATAGGGCCAGGCAGGATAAAACTGATGTTACTGTATACATGAGAGACAGGTGATTATAACTCTGTTAGGACAACGTCATTTGACCTCAAAGTACAAAACCAAAGTGTCTGCAAACGCTTCGAAAGATCTGATCTTCACAACGCTTCAAAAGATCTGATCTTCACATTCGTTGTCAACTCTTCAAAGAAAAAAGAGAAAAACCCGAAAGGTAAATTTTAGATTTTTTTTTTTGTAAATAAAATTTTACAGTTCCAGTTATCATTAATCAATGGCTTCAGTTTCTTACAAGTTATAAATCTTATTCCTTTGGTTTTGATTTTCATGGTTTTTATCTATTTTTGAATTATTGTCATTTATTTTCCTGTCTTTTCTTAGGCACTAAATAGATCATTCAATTGTAAATCTAATTCACCTTGTTTATATACTTTCTTCTTTGTTTTTCGCTCCAACAATGGTGGGGTTTGCTTGGAAAATTTTCTGGGATGAAAGGGTTTTCATCTTTTTCCTTTTTAATGTTTTTTATTGGAAAAAAAAAAAAAGATGCTTCTCGGTTTTCATTAATTTATCTTGAAATTTGAAGGCAAAAATTGAATTGTTGGGAAAATTATCCGGGTTTTCAATTTCATCCCTGTTACTATTTATGATTTATTACTATGTAATAATTTTTTTTTTCCTGAGGTCTTCATTAAGTATTACTTTTCTGGTATTTGATTTTGTATAGTTTGATATTTGTGCAATTAAATTAATGCCTTGTATTTTTATTGTTTATCATCTTTCATATGTAGGAGACATTGACTTTGTAATTTGCAGATGAAAATTGGATTCCTTGAATTTGTTGCTGTCATATTGCTGGCATTCTTGTGCAGCCTGAATGCAGTGTTTGGCATTAGATTTGTAATCGATAGAGAAGAATGCTTCTCTCATAATGTTAAGTATGATGGGGATACAATTCATGTGTCGTTTGTTGTCATTAAGGCTGATTCAGCTTGGCATTCTGGTCATGAAGGTGTTGATCTTGTGGTAAGCTTCCTAATTCTGTCATAAATCTAATTTGATTGCACACCATTGCCTGTCATGTGCTTATGTTTCAATTGCTAACGTTTAGTTCACTTATTTCACTATTGAGATTTCTTACTTAGGGCATTGTTAAGAGTGCGAACTACGGGTGAATATGTTTTTGAGATGCAGAAATGGTGTCATATAAATCAAATGATGAGAAAAAAAGTTTTCCTCATTTTTCTTAGAATTGTCTACGTGCAAAATTGCCGGGGAACTCAAAGTCACAAATTCTTATTGAGCTTGCTACTTTGTTGCAATTGTCAGGTGAAGGGACCTTCTGGTGATCAGATTCAAGACTATCATGACAAGATAAGTGAGAAATTTGAGTTTGTTGCTCATCAAAAAGGAGTCCATCGATTCTGCTTCAGTAATAGATCTCCTTATTACGAAACAGTCGACTTTGATGTACATGAAAGTCATTTTACATACTATGATCAGCATGCAAAAGATGGTAACCCATGTTTTATTTGCTTTTATCTTTCGATATCCTTCCCCCCCCCCCCTCCCCGGTTAAACCTTTAATAAAGTGTAGTGACTGTTGTTCTCATGTTTATCTGCAGAGCATTTCAATCCTTTGTTAGAACAAATTTCTAAGTTAGAGGAAGCACTTTATAACATTCAGTTTGAACAGCACTGGTTAGAGGCTCAGACAGAACGACAGGCAATAGGTATATTCACCTTAACATTTTTTATTTTTATTTAACAGTTCTGACTGATGTTCTATCATTGATGCCTTTGGAACTTATCTGCTTCTATCACCTTCAAACTCATACGTACCAGAAACCTTTACCTTAAAGCAATTCGAGACAGTTGCTAGATTCTATTGTGAATTACAATAAAGCATCACTTTAAGTCTCAAAACTTACATAATTCAGGCTGCACATGCTTATTAGAGCTTTTAGGTTGTATACTAGGTAAAAGTTTTTGCAATATTTTGCTCACTAAGTAGCTGGTGAGTTTGTTTCATTCTATTGCAGAACTAATCTAAGCTTGTTAAACTCAGTGAGGATGAATAAGAATAAGGTGTAATTTAAATGTGTCTTTTTGATATGTTGGAAGTTATATGTATGTATATATATATATATATATATATATATATGTTACATTAAAAAACTGCAATCTAGGCATTGCATAAATATCTCTCTCTCATGAAGCCTTTGCTGTTGATTACTTTTTTCTCTAATCATTGTCTCTTGACTGGAACTGCAGTAAATGAAGCTATGAGTAAAAGAGCAGTTCACAAGGCCTTCTATGAATCTGCAGCACTAATTGGAGCCAGCGTTCTGCAAGTATACCTACTCCGACGCCTATTTGAACGGAAGCTTGGGATGTCCCGGGTGTAGTTCAGCACAACAATGCAATGTTTATTAGCTATAGAATGATGTGAACTTTTGTCATCTCAGGCAATTGTAATACATGAATAGAATCCATGAATTTAGTGACGTCTTTTATTTGTCATCTCAGGCACTTGTAATCCATGAATAAAATAGTAATTCTACCATAGTGGGGGATTTTCATGACCGTATAACGTGTTCTGCTTGCTGCCTGCAAGTTATTTACTGCCAATGAAATACTTTTAAGAATGGCATCCCATGATGCAAAACAAAGTTCTGCTGTTTCCAATAAAAAATGAAAATGAAAAGAATAGAAGAGACAAATAAAGAGAACCTTTGACAAACACGCCAATCACTCGTATAACATGAAGAAAGAATGTCACACAAAAGCTCTACAGCTTATAAGAAAGAGTAGGCAAAGACAAGAAGAAATAACTCAGCTTCTAATAATAACCCACCAAATCAGTGCAAATAGATACATCAAGTGTGCGTCTTTGCTCCTTCCTCCCGCCAGAATTAAATTTTACACACAATAAAAAAAACAAATTCCAGAAGGGCTTATCACTGCCCTATAGATCCTATCTTGTATAGGAATATATGGTGGGGCTTGACCATACTTGTGGAAGCTCTTATACAAGCAGGACTTCATCAAGTTTCCGCAGGCGGGGCTTGAATGCAGCAAAGCCATTTTTTCTGTAAAAAAGCACCACATCAGGAGAGAAATCCAAAATAGCTACAGTTTATAACAATCATAAGAAAATGGAAATGATGCCACAATGAATTCAACTGTTATTTTACCATCAGTCAAGTATAGATTGTCACCATTGCCTAATGCAGGCATCCGGATGGCAAGAACAAGCTAAGTCATTTGAGATTACTTACAGGCTGGGGCTTGCCAGGATCCACTGTAGGCTTAACATGAGGATCAGCCTTTGCTGGTGACTCTGGTTTGCCACCTGTTTTCTTTTCGTCCCTTGCCTTGTTAAAGATCACAGTAAATCCCTCAGCTGATGCAGGATCGTTGACATCCCATTCACCAAATTTTGGCAATGGCCGACCCTTGTCCTGTTGGGCAAAAAGAAAAGTAAAATGCTCCCATTAAGATCCCCATGGTCAAAGTCGGCAGATAAAGAAAACATCAAGGTATCCTGACAAAACTAAAGCATGTCCTGGGTTCACCGAGTAGCTAATAGCTACAATATATTCAATTGCATATTATAACATGCCAGTCAATAATTGCTAATCCTAAGAGCTCCAAATAAGCAAACAGATAAATATTCCAAGCTCAGAATTAACAATTCATCCACATTCAATAGCAAGGAAAACTCTGACAGCTCTAATAAATTGCTTATGTTGATGGTTTTTGAATTCTAAACAAGAGAAAAAGGAAAAGGAGGAAATGATGAACCACTCTTTATTGTTTTCCATAGCTGTCAAGGAACTTATTAGGGTAAGACATAAGATATTTTTCATTTTCCAGATCATTATAGAGTTCTCGGCTTCTTGAACTTGAAACACACCAGCAGTTCCTTTCTATTCTGAACCAGCAACCACTTCATTAGCTAACTACAAGAAGAATGCAACACTTATTCAATTGAACATAATATCACTGAGAGAATCCAACCTCTAAATGCCCGCTGCTAGACACTGTAAGGGTCTTAAATAACTTCAGATTCAACTTAAAACAAACTAAATTCCATTTAATAACTGCAAAATCAATTGGCATGCTTTGCAATATTAAAAACAAACAAATGTGACTTCAGCTGAGCCCAGATCACATTGCCTGACTCTATCAGTGAGGGTCAAATTGTATGTTGGAGTTTGCATTATTACAACTCATACGTCGGCCTAAATGGACAGTATAGTTTAAATTAACCAAACACTGGTTATTGGTCACTTAAGAAAGCACTCGAATAAAAACCTGGTCTAAGACCACAAAAATTCACCATGATCACTGTTTTTTTAATAGGATACATCCAACAAAAAAATCATAAATGGTTCATGAAAAAACTGTTTTAAACAACCATATAATCATTGTCTTGAGATGATTGTTATTCAAGGGAGATGTTAGGTAGGTAGAACAGTGAAAGAAAGTCATGCCTAGATAGCAACAATACAATCAATTACACAGTTAAAGTAGATACCCTCAAAATGAGCAATAATTGAATTCAAATCACAATGACTATTAAAGAAGATAAAAATGACCACATAAAAGCACATGGCGTTATTAATTTAAAACCAAAACCAGGTAACTTGAAATGACCACATTCTTTGGAAGATACAGTGAAACGCTTAACTTATCTTGAAACAAGATGCAAAGGGATCTGCCAAAAAGTCATAACTTGAATTGACATAAACTAACAATCAAAATAATATCAAGTCATGGAAATCCAAGCATAAATTAGTCACATCTTTCAAAATAAAATGTCACCATAGATCACGTAAAGAACTCTAATTATTTAGTGCTGGTCACTTGAATATGAACAGATTGATACAAAAGCTGCCATTTACCGATTAGAATATCAAATACTACACAAGTAACAATGCATGCCCTCTAAAGACTCCCAAGAAAAGCTTTTTTTTTTTTTTTTTTCACTGAGCAAACATCATCTCAAAAGAACTTCATCACAATCCTACCTTTTCACTCCTTACTTACCTGCATGAATAATTAATTAGAAACTACATTTTCCATACAAAATTAATGGTACATTTATTAAACATTTTGTGATTCCCAGTACCACCAAGATTCTAAAAACATGCCAAAACAATCACCTATTTGCTAATGCATCCATTTTCAATCAACATAAATCTAACTTCCAAAGTTCTAATTCAGTAAAATTACCATTTTAAAAAAATTCCAACCATAAATCATGTTATTACACAAGTAATCGCTCAAATGGTATATAATTCATCGGTTAAACAAAACAAAAAGCTCAAAACCAACTTCAGGCAAAACCCATCAAAGAAACCAGCAACAAAATGATAAAGGGCGTAAAATTCTAATCATAAAAAACAAAACTTGCCCAAAATTTAAAAAGAAGAACTTTGATCAACACCAAAATCAAGCTTGTTTTTTAAAAAAGGAAAATACAATCAAAACCCAGAATAAAAAAAACCCAAAAGGCACGAATCAAAACAATCCAAAGCTCAATTCCATGAAATCAAAAGAAATCAAATCCAAACAACAAAATTAAACCTTTTATAACAAATTTAAACAGAAATGAAAAGACAAAAAAAAAAACCTATAAAGATTACATACCGACATGAATTCTTGAGAAAGAAACTTTCTTATGAAGCAAGAGAGAGATAGAGGAGCTTTAGAGAGAGAAAAATCAGAGCTTTTAGAGAGAGAAAGATGGAAAGAAGTGAAATTTTTTGGAGGAAAATATGAACAAAAAGAAGAGGAAAAAATTTTGGAGTTGGGATAACGACGTTATTTTGACCGTTATATGAAAGGGAACGGTGGGAGATAGAATTGGGGGAAAACGGAGCCGTTAGTAGACCGTATGTGATGATGTGGAAGGGGCACAGATAACGGGAACGGCAAGATGAGCTGGCAATGTTAGTTTACACGGAGGCAAAGCGGACAAGTGGTTTGCTGGCACTGTTTAGAAATTTGGGAGTTTTTAGAATTAATTTAATTAATTATTTTTTAAAAAATAAATGACTAATTTTGATTAAAAAAATAGTATAAGAACTCAAAATCTTTAAATTTTCCTAAAAAATTTTTAGTTTAATGGTTCATTATAAGATTAATTTAAATTCTTATATTATGCAAAATAAACAATTTATGTAAATAAATAAAAATTTTATTTTTATTTTATATTTTACATTAAAAAATAATTGAACAAGATATCACTTATAAAATAAAAATAATCTATTTTATATCATTAATGAATTGTTAGCTCATCGTCTCTAAAATTTAATATTTAAAATTTGAATATTTGATTAATTTATATCTTATAAAAATGTTAGCAATAAATAAAAGAAATGCAGAATCTCATTTGGATGGTTTATAAAAGAGGAAAGCAAAGATTTGCCTTTTGCATCCAACTCTTGAAGTTGATAAAAGTCATATAAAAAGATGCTCTGATTATGATAAAGCCAAAGCAAAAGTCCAGAAAAAGACAGCATCATAGATTGTGACATCCAATCAAAACTAAGCTAGAAAAGCTGGCAGACAAAAATTTATTCAAATGACAGAAGCAAGCTGATGTTGTTGTTGTTGTGATCAAAGGTTCCTGTCTTTCTTTCAACTTTGTGCTGGTGATATTGCACCATTTTCCTGTCTTTCTTCTCCGGTAGGCTTGTTCTTGAGCTGGTTGGTTCATAGCATTTTCTTGCATCAACACTTTCATATTCAATGGCTGTTACTTGCCAATATGTTCATGATCATGAATTTCCATTTCCAGGCTTAAAACCAGTTACAAAATCAATTACAGCACACATAAACTATTACAAAGTCAATTACAGTAAGCATATCCTTGTTAATGTTGCTAGATTCTGTCTGCCATTCCAAGAGCAATACACAACATTTTATAACATGGGAAATCTAAAAGGGATACCCCATCAACAAAATTTACCGACGGTACTCACTTTGCCTCCATAATCAAGCAGTGCTGGTTATAAGATGTAAACGAACAGAATTTTTAACGAATTGTTTATATTTAATTTTTATTTGTTTATTAAATTTAATAAATAATTTTAAATAATATTTTTATATTTATTTATTAAATAAATTAGATTATTTTTATAAATAAATTTATTTAAAATTTATTCATTTATTATTTATTTATTATTCGTTTATTATTTATTTGTTATTCGTGTATAATGATATTAATAAATTATTTTTTTATTTTTTTATTTTAATTATATTTTAAAATTTATTTTATATTTATTTGAATTAATTTATTGTTAATTTAAAATTTAAATTTATTTAATTTTATAATATATTTAATTTTATATATTCGTTAATATATTTATTTAATATTCACGAATAAATTTATTTAATTTAATTTAATTAAATATAAATATTTTATTATTTAAATAAATTAAACTTAAATAAATAAAATAATTTTTTATCAAGTACGACTTAAATCTAAATACTACTAAAATTAATCGAATAAATCCTAAATATATGATTATTTATTCATATTTGATTTATTTATTGCGCTACTCGTTAGACTCGCTAGTCAAGCTGCTTCATCACTCATCAAAGAGTTGTTTTTTCTCCATCTTTAGCCATAAGGAATCCTTGTTCTCCTGAAAAGCATGACAGAGCATTACATTGATGAAGAAAGATGAAGCGACCTCAATAAGCATTCCCGAAGCATATGCAGCACGTGACGAGCTGTGAGGTTGACCTTTTGGAAGCCTGCAGCAAGGATATGGTTCTGTCTTGTAAATTTGTTCCCAATGCTGTAATGATGACAAGGAACAAACCTAAACCAATAAATAAATGAATGAATAAGATGCATGTCCAGAAAACAGATGGCAGAACAATCCAAAAAAGGTACTCTTTTTAGCTTATGTCTGTACAGCTGGAGGCACTTTGAAGCAAATGACTACCAGCTACTGATGATTTGTTCCAGGCCTCATTTACCGTGGCCCACACCATGTACCATTTACCTGTCCAAAATAATCAATTAAAGCAGCGATATGATTGTCAAGTAAGTCTGGAACCAAGTCCTCAAGGTGTAAGTTGCAATAAATGCAACAATCCGGCAAACAAATACCAGACAAATGACACAAGCATAACATCCATTAACAGCTGAGGTATAACTGAATGTAGTGGGAAAATAGTCCATAGTTAAACAACTCTCCTATCTTTCACCATTGAACCTAACATCATATTTCAAGTATAAACTGATGGATTAAACCCTTGAAAACACATCAAAATAACTGCCTCAACATTGATTTTGTATAGTCACACATTCTAGCTCAAACAAGCACATGGGTAGTTATTGAAAACATATGTGTAAGATGATTGAGTTCCAAACCAGGTTGCTTGATAACAAGGTTGAGAAATTTCAGAGCTAGCCTTCCATGAACTTGCCTCAAAGAAGCTAACTTGTACTCCATGTGGTTCAAGGACTCCCAACGGTCTATAGTTAAAATTGTATATAGCTTTTCTCCATTTCTACAAAAAAAAAAAAGAAAAAGTTCCAAACAGCTTGTAATAAGAAATATAATTCATACAAAAATTTCATAACTTTTAGCAAAAAAAAAAAGTCGAGAATGGTTACCGGAGAATTGTGTGTGGTTTTGACTGTTGTGTTTGTATTATCTAGTTGCGAGCTTGTAATGGAAACATTAAAAGAACCCAGAAGAGAAAAAGGTCTGAGTTTTGAGAATTGAAGGTGGAGTTGAGATAGTGTTTTGGTGGCGGGAGAACTCAAGATTCGAAGACATGAGTTTGAACGGTAACTATTTCTTGGTTGTGTCTTGTACTTGTGTGGTTGTGTTTGCTCCTCAGCACCAGCACTTCTGCTCTGATTTCTGAACCTTGTTGCTTTGTTATTAACTTTTAAACTTTGGGCCCGAGTAATGTATCATCGCCCATCAAATTCCTTTTAGGGCAGCATTAGGCCATTTGTTTAGGCCCATATTGGACCAGTTTTGAGCTAATATTGGGTTTGGTTTTTTTAATGAATGGATTAGCTTGTAATGGGTATATAAGCTAACATCTTCTGAAAATTTTCATTGACAGAAAAAACCAAAGCAAATTGAGCACGTTATTTCTTCTGTGAAATTGCTTTGATTTTGTCAATAAAAATAAAAACAGGAAAGCTTCTTTTGTCTCTGGACTTGAAAATTTCTTTCTTATTTCAAAAAAATTCTTTTGTAACATAAAAAAGAAGGAAATTGAGGAGAAAGAAGGAAAACGGAAGAGAATTTAGAAGTCAAGTTGCCATCGATGGAGGACAGGAGGGTTTTCCTGGAAGAAAAGAGGGTGGAAAAGTAGTTATAATAGACAGAACATTGGTTTCCTTAGAGCTTAATTAAGGTGATGTTCCTATTCCTGTAGGCAAGCAAGCCAACTTGCCATTCGACCAGAAATGCTTGGGAAAATTCTAGGCACCTGGTTAGCAAAGATTGCAAGAGCTATAGTAACAACCCTGGAATTGACCTCCGTCTCCAACTCCATGCCCACGGCAAAGAAAAGTCACTATTCTGAAAAGAAGAACCTGATCATGATTAATGACATAACCCCTGCAAACTATATTGCTATAGGCTATGGCTTTTGGGTGGCTTTCTTTCCATTCCCTGTCAATTTCAATGCAGTTTTCTTGGTATTGAAAAAGTTTTTACTCAAATTTTTTTACAACATCTCAGCCCGTGGCACCTACGCACAATTTCCAATTCCTACACCGCCATGCACACCTCATTTCCTCTCTATAAATATAAGGCATATAGTCAAGGAGGAAGTAACTACAGCCCAAGTAATGAAATCTAAACCTAAATAACAAAACACTTGTTGGGTTCCAATTGCCACTTTGAAAGTGCTGATACAGAAGAAAACAAGGAAAGGAACACCAACCTCTCAGGCATTCGAGAAACTTTGGTGGTATATGTTGATTACAATAATTTTGCTCCCGGAGTTGATTACAATAATTTTGCTCCCGGAGATGAGAAGGATGATGATGGAGGGGAAAACATACGGAAGAAATAAGTGGGGAACAAAAGTGCAATCGGAGAAGGGTAAAGCAAGTATGAGAAAAATTTGAAGCCATTGAATATGACTGTGGAAAGGAAAGCTCCAGCAATTATGTAGCATGTAACTATGTCAGATATTTGGTGGAGTTTTCCAAATTCTATTCAATGGCTTCAAATTTTTCTAACTTTTTTTTCCCATTTCTCTGATTCCATTTTTGTCAATTCCTCTCTTAATTTTTCCAATTTCTTCTCTTATAACCTCCTCCATCACCGTATTGCTATCTACTGATTGGTTAAGCACATATTAATCAGATATATTTTCTCATTATTATTTATTATTATTATATATGCTAGATATGTCCCAGAACAGACAACTGTTTTAATCAATGAGACAATATTTAATGCGAATGTTGTCCACATTTGAGCTCACCAACAAAAATTTTGGCTCAGATTATACATATGTTACTGTTCTTATGTTACAATTCCTATATATTACAGTTCTCATGTTACAATTCTTATCAAATTTTGTTCAATTTTCCTTTCCTAACTGATATTTTATACATAACAAGTACTTCTCCATTTAGTCAAAGCATCCCAACCTTCCTCCATACAAGATAGCTAAAAAAAATAAACCATGAACCAATTTCAGACATATCAAAAATCCATGAAGCCATTGGCCATGTGAATTAATTTCTTTTGTACACGAAGCAATCCAACAGCAAATGTAAGATGTCAAT